GGGTGGGAGAGTGTGTGTGTGGGGGGGGGGCTGCTTTGTCCAGGGGGCTCTATTTCTATCTCGCACTGATTCCCAAGCAGCCCAAGCTCCGCTGAAAGATTAAAATGCAAAAGGGCCTCTTCTGCTCCCAAGTGTTTACGAGAAAACAAGGATCCCCATATTTACAAGTCCCCCTGAGGCTGGCCAGTGGGGAACCAGCTAACAAAGGCTTTCAGTTATGATGGGAAACGCAGCCAGGACCAAGGTTCAGGGCCGCCTGGAGCCTAGAAACATTCCCATGGGCACAATCTTTACAGGGTCTCTAGTCAGCCAATCTCGCCTGTAGGGTATTGACATAAATAATACATTAACATACCAATTACCACATTTCTCTTGTAAGGCCGACCAGCAAAATCTAGACTAAATATTTAAACATCTTAACCTTAAAAGCCTTCAATAATACAGATTTGATGAAAACATCCAAGATAATATGCAATTCCAATCTTTTGGGGGCTGGGGGGTGGTTGGCAATAATTTTATTCCTTGTTATTTCTCTTTTTCAAAAGATAAGATATTTGGTCACTTGCGACCCATTGAGAGTTTTCTGGCAGCGAGCGCACGCCAAAGCTCATCTGCGCAGAAACGCGATGAGTGCAAAGACAGACGGTCTCCCAAGTCCCCAGCGAGTCCCCCGTTACTCACATTTCTCTACCCTAAGCCCTGCTGATCCCGATATAAAAAATCTGTCCTGTGGCTCAGCTTGACGCCTGGAGCTACGAGCGAGCAGTCTTAAGCGGCGAGCCACGCAGTCACGGGTGTCAGTGACGTGCCAGGCGGCCTCTGCTCCGACCCTCCCCGGGCCCTCGCCATTCCCCAGGCCCCAGGCGCTCGCTCTGCGCTGAGTGTGGGGCATCCTACGTCCTGACAAGAGCGCTTCCTTCCTCCCCTTCCCAAGCTGGTCATCACCTGGCACCTTCTGTCAAAGTCCAGCTCATGCACCTTTTTTTCTTAAATTTTATTTTATTGTTGATAGTATTACAGATGTCTCCCATTTCCTCCCTTTGCCCCCCATCACCCACCCCAGGCCTTCCCCAGGCTGCTGTGTCCACAGGTCATACATATGTGCTTGTATGTTCTTTGGTTAATCTCTTCCCGTCCCACCCCCCCAACCCCCCCAATGAGACCTGTTCTTCTGGCCCACGCATCCATACCTTTGCACCTATTCTGTTCCTCAGTTTATTTTGTTCTTTAGATTCCACTTATAAGTGAGGTCATGTGATAGTTGTCTTTCTCTGACTGGCTCCTTTTGCTTAGCATAATAGCCTCTAGGTCCATCCATGCAAAGGGCAAGAGCCTTCTCAGACCCCTTTCTCTGGAAAACAACCCGACTCCCCGAGACAGAGCTCCATTCGCCGGCCATCGCGCACGGAGAGCGGGCCGAGTTCCTGCCGTTGCGGAGTTTACCGTGTTAAATCATGACTTATCTGACTGTCTGATCCCCCCACAAATCTCCAAGGTCCTTTAAAGCAGAGGCGTATCTCAATGCATGGGAGAAATTATGGGGATACCACCGGAACCCTGTCCTTTCGGGAGGGGCGACGGTCCGTGTACTTTGGCTGACACACGGGTAGGATTGCCAGAGGAGCGAGAAGTCGTTCCAAATCTGCCTCAGAAACACCCGATTTTGTCAGGGAAAACCAGGTCCACACTTCAAACTGAGTCTGTGGAATGACACACACATCACCCGTTGGCAAGGGACGCAGCACGCACTATTACGAAACTTATGTTTAGTCTCAAGCAAAAATAAACTGTAATGCAGTCAAAACTAATAAAAATTCATACTTTTCATGTTAAGGAATAGAGAGGCAATGTTTCTGAAACGATCTCTATTCCAAAGGCTCTTTATAGAAGTTAATTTTAGAATTGAACAGAAATTCAAAGAGCGGTGTACCAATTATAAATCTTTGTTGTCATCACGATTTAGTGATGATTAAGATTTTGAAAACAAAAATCATTATTTTATCTCCCGGAACAAAGCTAGCCAGGGAAAGAAAATTGCCTTGAAGTGTTCTTTGTATTTACTACCCTCTTTAGCGCATCATCTTATATTCAAACTTACTTCCTCCATGAAAACCTTTCTATGATGTCTACCCTCCCAGAATGCAACTTCTTCCAAATTATTTCAGACCCTGCATTGACGTCTCGGCCTCAGCCTCCTTATTCCGTGTGTTTCAGCCTTGGGCTGCTCTTCTGGTTTAAATAAAAGCCTGACAAGGAAAGCACCTTGCCATCCATTTCTGCATCTATGGCATTACACCGGAGGGGCTAGGTACACAAACCATCCAGAAATCCTTGTTCCTGGCTACACAGAGGAAATAATTCTAGCTAACAACAAAGAATTCTCATCTTTTCAATTATAAATTCCTGTAGTCTTCAAAAATATACAACAGTGCGGGGAATGTCAGAGGGAAGAGGGGGTGAGGGGAAGTGGAAGAAGGTAAAGGGTAGATAAACGGTGATGGAAGGGAACACACAATACAATATACAGATGACGTGTTGTAGAATTATATACCTGAAACCTGTATAATTTTGTTAACTGATGCCACTCCAATAAATTCAATAATAATTAAAATTTAAAAATACACAATTAGATATATGATCAAATCTAGAACCCAGTGATCTCATTTCTGAGACCCTCCTTACCCCCCCAAAAAAATCTAGAAAGTATGAAAATTATAGGAATAAAAATATTCATTCAAGAATTATTTATAATAGCCTCACATCAGGTGCAACAAGGGAATGGATAAATACACCACAATGAGACTACTGTATAACAACTTAAAATAGAATTAGTAAGATTTTCTAGCAATACATCAATCAAGCATAATACAATGTTAAGTGTGAACAGAAGAATAGTAAATTGTAAGTATACTCAATTATAACTGTAAAAACGTGGATACTGGGAAAGGTTGAAACTATACAGATGACTACTTATATTCTGTTGTGAAGCAATAAGCTATTTTGACATTTCTCTAAATTTTTTTATCATTGTTATTTTCACAACTAACAAACGAAGTCTTTTTTTCTTTTTAACTCTCCTCACCAAAAATTCCAAATGGTTATATTTGGTTTGTTCTACTAGAAATAAAAATAAACACAAAAATGGGGAGGTCACTTGACTTCATGACACTATGAGGTTCGGAGTCGGTCAAGAACTAGCTGTGAGCTGGTTTTGAAGGAAACGTCAGCATTTCGGTATCTCCGAAAGGAGGTTACTCTGACTCCCTCCACGCATTTCATTTCCAACAATTTCACGATCCGCAGTGGAAACTTACTGGGAAAACGTTTGAGTCAGTGTCCTCTAATTAGTATGTCAAGCAGCAATTTCCATTCAAGTCAAGATAGCTACTTAGCATTTGCTTTGAAAGCTGCCGAGAATTAAAAACCAAAACCAAAACCTATGTAGTCACTGCCTTTCACTAAATTATGATTTAGCGTAAGTGAGAAGCAAGTCTGAAGCCAGAGAGAACTGACTACAGAGCTGACCGCAGCTGTCATAGCAGATACAGAGGAGATGCTGGGAGAGTTCAAGGAGGGTAGACTCACATGGGCTTGGGGATCAAGGTTTCAGACACTGGATGCAGTCAGAGGACTGAGTGGGAGCAAAGAGAAGGCGAGAGAGGGATCCAGAAGAAAACCCTGGGGCCCAACTGCACTCCCGGTGTCCGGAGGCCCAGGATACAGTGGGGCTGGGAGGGAAGAGTCCAGGGGGCAGGAGTGGAGCTGTGGAAGGTAAAGCAGGGACCCAGGTGATCACTGGGGCAAAGGGGCAGGAACTCAGTCAGAGTTAGAGGCTGGAGAAAAAGCTTTGTGGATTTCACTGAAAAGTCTCCAGCTAAGTCACAGCTAAACCCATTTTAGAAGAATGGTGTGGACAAGCTCCAAACTGAGGGGTAAGAAAAGATAAAAATTAAGGAAATAGAGGTGGATATCTACACCAACTCTAAGGAAACTTGGCTGAAAAGAGAGAGACAAAAGGGGGAATTACTGTATTTAGAGGACACAGTCAAGTTGTGTGTTTTTAAGTTCATATGGAATTTATTTAGAAGTGTGAGAACATTTATTTTTTCTGTTTAGCAGCCCAATTTTTCTAGCACCATTTATTTATTTTTTAAATTCCCATTCATAGCAAGTCCTCTAAGAATCGTACATTTTTACACGTCTATTATTACCGACAAGGGTTTCTGGCCCATTCCTCAGTTTGGGTCCGCTGTCCAACCCTGCACCTGTAACGTGGGAATGGAATCAAAACTGCAGCATTTGAGTGGGTTTTAACATCTGGCAGAAGTTCCCCCTCATTGCCTTCCTTCCTATTATATCCATTCCTTTTAGGGAGCTTTTATATTCATTTATTTAATTGTTTAACAGTAAACAGTAAAACTCACCACTTAACAAATACAAATGTAAAATAAGAAGTTAAAGTCCCAGGCCTCCCCCACAACACACCACCCATCAGATCCGAGTTCCAACTCCAGAGGGAAGCACTAGTCAGGAACTGAAGCCCACCCATCGGGTAGTGTCCTAAGTTTACACACACATCTTAAATGTAAACATATTTATCAGGAGAAAGGGTCCCCAAAGGGAGAGAGTGCACATTCTTCACGGAGAGAATGGCACAGGGTCTTGTGACCTCTCTTCCCCTCACCCCTCTTCTCTCACCCGGGGAGCACGATTGAGCCCTTCCGCTTCTCTCTTAATCCCTTATACACCGCGACCACCGCCACCGCCGCCACTTCCCCATCTCTCTTAGTTTACAAGGTCTATTTATTGCTATTTTGCCCTCTGCCTCATGGGGTAACACAACACATTCCCAGCATATACACCCTCTCCATAGGCCGAGGGGTCCCTTGGGCTCAGCTGGTCACCGAGTCCTCAGCTCTGCTCAGAACCCTGTCCCCTAACCCTGCTGTATGCAAAGGCTCCCAGCACCTGCACCCTTTTCTTGAGAACCCAGCTCCTCAGATGTGTTTGACATCCCCTCCAGGGTCACCTACCTCCTTGAGGCAAACCCAGCACAGTCGGTAATTGATGGGAGAAGGTCACAGAAAGGTAGAAGGGGTGGAATTTAGAACATACGTGACAGATTAACCTTGAGCAGCACATGACCATCTAGTGGACGTGGGTAGGTTTCAGTGGTTGTGATTGCAGGGAGGTTTGTCGGGCAGGGGCTCCCAATGGGTGGTGCATGGGCCAGCACATCAACATAACGAGAGAACCTACCGGAAACTCAAATTCTTGGGCCCCACCCCAGGTACACTGAGTCAGAGACTCTAGGGGTGAGGCCCAGCCATGTGTTTTTAACTAGCCCACCAGCAGACTGATGGAAGCTTAAGTCTGAGAACCACTACCACAGAATGTGGAAAACTAGGTAAATTTGAAAATGTTTACAAATGATAACCTCTCTTGTATGCCATGAAGATGGAATGAAAACAGTTATATTCTAAGGGTAAGTGATTTAATACAGAGCTTGGGGGAAGTGGGAATATTTGGAAATAACACTGAGAAAAAAGAGAGGAGGAAGTGAAACAGTCTAGGGAGGGTCCCAGCCTACGACTTTGTAGACTAGTGAGTCACCACAGGCAACTATACTGATTCCTTCTCGGTCATGATGACATGAGCAACGCCTCAAAGATGGCAAAGCTGGAGGGGAGCAGATTCAGAATATACCCAAATGATGACTGTCATTTATGAAGATGAAATTTGCTTTGTAAAATTCTACCATAAACTAAAGAATTCTGGAATTTAAAATATTTGAAGTGTACCCACCACTACTAATTTTGTCATCAAGGAATCTCAAGATCGCGGGAAGCTTCCCCGTCCTTGCTTTATCCAGGCAAGATAAAGGCTGGGCAGTTTAAGAGACTGACTCAGGCTCCGCAGGAAGCCAGTGGCGCGATTGGCATGGCCTTCTTAGGGCTCCTGATTCACTGCCCCTTTAGTCTTCTTCCCACAACTGAGCGGACTCCCTTTTTCCCAGAGCTCAGACGCCATGTGGGTGAACCCAGCACATCAGCCCTTGTGGATGGAAGTCAGCAGAGTTTGGCTCTAAATGGGCATCACAGGCCACAGCAGCAGCAGATCTGCCAAACACAAGGCAAAGACTTGGCCCAGCTCCGGCCCTTCCATCCGGGGGCTGGATCAAGTTCATCTCTGTGCCTACAAACCCTTGGGGCTCACCAAAAATAAGGGTGGGTCCGTCCACAGGGAATCAACAGCGGCCGCTACGGGAAGTCGCCAGGCAGACGGATGGTATCAATCGAGCAAGCAGCGCGGGGAGCAAAGGCCAAGTGAAGCGGTTATAAATAGAGCCCACGGGGGCACTGCAAAGATCTGAAGGCGGCCCTGAAGTTGCGGCTCCGAGGAACGTGGGCAGCCGCTGGCAAACAGGCTGCCGAGGGTGGCCGGCTCCAGTGAAGCCACACCACCCCCGCCTGTGGCCCGAGCGCACGGGGAGGCGGAGGCAAGGGCGCCGGGGGCACCCCTGCCCGCCCCTCGTGAGGGTGCATGGCTGACGCTCAGGACTTCGAGCAGGGCCCACACCTTCTAAACACTCTTTCCAGAGTGACTTTGACCGGCATCGGCCCAAATGAGCCAGCATTTCCCTCCCAACTGAATCACTTAAGGAGAATCCACTCAGAGGCCGATGCGTGCGAGTCCACCTGCCTCCTCCGCCAAAAAGCACAGCACCCCAACTCTGCCCAGCAAGCGCTGGGCACCGTTCCGCGGCCGTGTCCTCCGACCTGGCCTGCCGGTCCGTCCCCCAGCATTCCTTAATTCAACCGGGAACAGGCGAGGATGTGAGAAGAAGGGACAGGAGAGGATCTTCCAGTTTATCAAGAGGAAGCCTGAGACCTGTAAATTGGCCTCCTCGGCCCCATAAATCATCCCAACACTAGTATTTCATTTTTATCTGAAACTATTTTGAGCTCCAATTAGAGAGAGGTTCACCCATTTAAGCTGAGAAATCTGCGATGTCGCACACAGCCACTCCCGAAGGAGGTCCAGGGCCTCACCTTTGTACTCGGCCAGGCACACGCACTCATAGCCGTCAACCAGGTCCCTGCAGGTGGCGGCGTTCAGGCACGGGGCGGACAGGCACTCGTTGTACTCCTCCTCGCAGTACAGGCCGTGGTACCCTGAGGGACAGAGAGAGAGGGCCGCCGTCAACCGTGTCCCATCCCCACCCACGCCGGACCAGCCTGCAAGGGAGGCAGCTGGGGATTCACCAAAAAGTGTGGCGTGGACAGATGGGACCTGGGAGCTGGGTCTCCTGGGGTATAACTGGAATGAAGATTTCCAGGAAGGCTATGAAGAGTCTGTTCTTAGCACCCTCTTTCAGGAGCCCAGGAATAAAAAGTTATCCATTTACCCACCAGGTGGTCTCCTTATTGCGTGTTCAGGGGGACTGGTGGCCTGGACACGCGGGCTCCTGTGTGCTGTGGCCACAGGACAGAGTGGCAGGACTTCCAGCTCCTCTCAAGGATGGGGACCTTTCCTGAATCAATTAAAAAAACACGTCTAATGAAAGAATTTGACTAAAGCAGAAAAGGGTCAATGAATTTGCTTTGCTTTCCAAGTCAGGAAAAAGAACCCAGCCCAGCCCAGCCCCTGCGGCTCAGTTGGTTGAGTACCTGCCCAGGCACCGCGAGGTCGCCCATGTGATTCCCATTCAGGGCACATGCCTGGGTTGCAGGCTTGGTCCCTAGAAGGGAGTGTCAAGAGGCAGCCGCTGATAGATGTTTCTCTCTCCCTCTCCTTTCCTCTCTCTCTCTAAAGTCAATTAAAAAATATTTAAAAATAAAAAGAACTCAGCTAAGCAGGCTTACCTGAAATTCCTGAGGAAGAGTGGGCTGTCATTTTTGTTTTGTTTATTTAAAGTTATGATTACCTGCATTATAGTATTTTAATTTTGCTCAAATTTTTTAATTATTAAAAATATAATCATAGCAATGAGAAAAAAGAAAGAAACCTAACAATTTCTGAATTCAAGATGGTTCCTACCCTCCTAGTCGCAAAAACAGGTGTTTATTCTAAAGGACAGGAAGACAACATTCTTTGAGGTTCACTTATGAGTGTTATGCTGTTTTTAACTTTCAAAAACATGTATTACTGCCAATTTGTGATGAAACTGGACCATTTTTGTCTGGCCCTGTCCAAACAATGAGAAACATGTGAGCGCTCTCAAAAATCACCCTGCCTGTGTTGGTTCTGAATTCAGATAAGCAGGAAAAATAAACCCTTGCTCAAGTGGGAACTAGAACCTCTTGCTTTTTCCAGCTTTCCAACCCCTAGCCAATCCTCAAACTCAGAAAGTCCCCTCAGGACCTGCTAAAGTGTTGAACTGTTTTGTTTCTTGTGCCCATCCCAGAAGTAGGTCAAGCTCAGACTGGCATTATTAACTGAGCACTTTTCGAGCATTTGCCGTTTCAGTTGCTTTTTGAAGTGCTTTCCAAATTTAGGTGGTGATAATGACTGCTTGGAGGAGACCTTGACCTACCTAAGACAAACAGAGCACGGTTCTCAATTCTTCTACCTCACCCTTTTTGTCATTTTACGGAAATATTTCTTATTACGCTCCATCAGGTTGTTTTCTTCATCTAGATCAGAGCTAGTGAACTAACAGCAATTCTGATCCCCAGAAAACTTTGGCAGTGTGGCGATACATTTTTTAAAATATGTTTTTGTTGATTTTGAGAAAGAGAGGAAGGGAGAGGAATAGAGAGATAGAAACATTGATGAGAAAGAAACATCATCATCGATTTGCCACCTCCTGCACGCCCCCTACTGGGGATCGAGCCCTCAACCCAGGCATGCGCCCTGACCTGGAACTGAACCAGTGACCTCTTGGATCCTAGGTCGATGCTCAACCACTGAGTCACACCAGCTGGGCTGGATATATTCTTGATAACTACAACTGGATGCTACTGACATCTAGTGTAAGGACCCTGCGAACCATCCACCAATGCACAGGACAGCCCCCCACAACAAACCCATCCGGCTAACATGTTAATAGAGCCATATGGGGGAGTCCTGTTCTAGACTAGGGCTCAACAAACTACGGCCTACTGGCCGAATCCACCCCAGCCTATTTTTGTATATACATTTTATTGGGACACCACCATGCCCATTCACTTATATGTTGTCTATGGTTGCTTTCAAACAATGGCAGAGTGAGTCGTTGCAACGGAGATGATATGGCTCGCAAAGCCCCAAATCTTCCCTGTCTGGCCCCTTACAGAACAAGTTGGCTGACGCCGGATCTAGATTCAATAGGAAATCTTTCTTTTTACAACATTTTTGCATATTAACCCCTTATCAAATGTATGGTTTGCAAACATTTTCTCCCATCCACTAGGTTGCCTTTTTGTTCTGTTAACGGCTTCCTTTGCTGCGTGGAAGCTTTTCGGTGTGATCCAGTCCCACTTGTCTATTTTTGCTTCTGTTGCCTGTGCTTTTGGTGACATATCCAAGAAATCATTGCCAAGATCAATGTCATGAAGCTTTTCCCCCATGTTTTCTTCTAAGGAGTTTTATAGTTTCAAGTGTCTTACATTTAAGTTTTTAACCCATTCTGAGTTGATTTTTGTAAATGGTGTAAGATAATACAAATGGCCAATAGGTATACAAAAAGATGCTCAACATCACTAATCATCAGGGAAATGCAAGTCAAAACCACAATGAGATGTTTCCTCGTGTCTGTTAGAATGGCCATTATGAATACATACGTGGGGCGGGGGGTGTAAACAAGTGTTGGCAAGGATGTGGGGAAACTGGAACCCTTGTGCTGTGTTGGTGAGAATGTAAAATAGTGTAGCTGCTTTAGAAAACAGTATGGAGGGTCCTCAAAAAATTAAAAATAGAACTACCGTATTATCTACAATCTCACCTCTAGGTATTTACCCCAAAGGGTTGAAAACAGAATCTCAAAGACGTATCTGTATTCCCATGTTCACTGTCACATCAGTCACAATAGCCAAGAAGTGGGAACAACCTAAATGTCCATCAACAGATACAAAAATAAAAGGGTATATGTATACACTGGAGTATCATTCAGTCTTTAAAAAGAAGGAAATCTTGCCATACGCCGTCACATGGATGAACCCTGAAGCCATATGCCAAGTGAAATAAGCCAGTCACAGAAGGACAAATACTTCTCATTCTAAAGCAATTGACCTCATAGCAGCAGAGAAAAATGTGGCTGCCGGGGGCTGGGGAGAGAGGGAAACTGGAAGTGGATGCTCGATGGGTATAGTTTCATTTATGCAAAATGAAAACATCCTAGAGCTCTGTGGGATGACAACATGCATACAATTAACAATACTGTGCGGCAAACTTAAAATGCGTCAACAGGGCAGCGTTCCTGTTATAGGATTTTAGTACGTGTGTCCTGCTAGATTTTATTATGTGTGTCTTCTGGCCTCTTCTCCATGTGGAGACACAGCCACAAACAGCATCTTTTCCCTTGTATTTGCTCTGCTAGCAGATCTTTGAAAAATCATCTGGGAAGGAGCACATAAACCCTATAAACATTTTGGCCTCTGAACTGAGGTGGTATTTACAGAGGCAAAAGTCAAAAGAAAATTTCATGAAATTATAAGTGTTTTTGTTTTTGAAAAACAGTATCATCTTTTTCTACTAGCAACATGCAGAGCAAATGAGGAAGTTATTTTACAGAGAAAATGAAGCTGGTGATGTTTTCCTGCCTTTGAGGAGGGAAAAAAAAAGATAAAGGTTTCAGATTCTAAAAGTGTTTCTTCAGAGACGGTAACATTTAAATGTCTTTATGGAAATGTCAAGGCACCCTTTACACTTGGTGCCAAAGGATCTAAATTGGAATAAAAAGGCCATCCTTCCAGAAGAGAAGGATTCTGCAAAAATGAGGCTGCCACCCCTGCTGGTAATTAATTTGGACAAACAAATTAGCTCAGGGCAATATGCCCAGGGTCTAGAAAAATTAACCTAGCCCAAAGAATTTTTTAAAAATAAAATAAACAGAGTGGCCCCTCCCAGGGCACTGACGACCTTCATCACCACCACCCTGGTCTTCTCCTGAATAGTCAGCTCCAGTCACTTCCTGAGAATCTGTAACACACAGCAGCCGACTGGACGTGGTAGGGAGAAAGCGCGGTCCAGATGCGGCCATGCTTAGGCTGTGAGTGAATGATGCCACGTCCACGAATAGGTATGGACGAAGGAATGACAGGTTTTCGAGGAAGTTGACCAATCGGACATGTTTAACTGGGGGCCCCCTTAGGGAGGTCCAGGTGCAGTTGGGAAAAAAATGGACTTCAGTAGCATAGAAACAGCATTTGGGAGTTAGTTACCTAGAGGTAGTAAAGTTTTCATCAAAGAAGAACATGGAGAGGAAAGAAGGTCAGATCTCCATGGACAGGCAGGTGGAGAAACAAGAAGCCCGATCAGATCAGGACACTGAGCAAGGATGGAGCAAAGGGAAGGAAAGACCAAGGAGGGCAAAGCCGTGGAAGCCAGGAGAGGAAAGGAAACCAGGAGGCCTGGCTAACAGTGTCAAAGATTCTGGAGAATCACAAGTGGATGACAAGACTGGGATGTCACTGGAGACCTTTAAAACCATGGCTCTCAATGGTGGCTGTACTGCCTTTTTGAGGGAGCTTTGGAGATTGGGGGGGGGGGGATTATTACAATGATTGAAGGGTTCTACTTGAATTTGGTTGGTATGGGCCAGAAATATTAAACATTATGCAATGTCAGGATTCCCCTGCACAGCAGATAATGCCCTGGCCTCCTCACAGCTGTGGACAGTCCCACTGGACAGCCACGCAGGTGAAACCCTGTGGATCGACTTCCAGGTCTAAACCTACTGCTTCACATGGACAGCACGGTCTTTAAGATACACCGAGTTTTCCTAGAATATAACTACTGGGTACATCAAGAGAAGCTGTACCAAGACTTGTTTCCCATTATGGAAAATCTCTTCACAAGAGCAACAGAGGAATTTCAGTCACAAAAGCAAGCACACCTGTATCAGTAAACTAAACAAAAAATCACATTCAGGTAATTTTCTGACAATACCACCCAAAATTGCTTCCTCCACCAGTTAATCACCACCATACTCAACTCATTTCCATCATCATGCTTATAACTGAAATCATATTTC